CCAAAACCCCAAAACCCCAAAACCCCAAAACCCCGAAAAATATGTTCGATATTGAAATATTTTAAGTATGAAGCCAAACTACCAAAATTATTACAACCAGTAAGAATTTAGGGTATGATCATTTAGAGTAAGAAGGATCTCACCTGAGCATTACCCTAAGTAAGGCCTTTGGCTGAAAAGCAGCTGTATGTAATTTTGTAATGAAAGCTATTTTGATTGTACATTCCACATTTTTATGTAATTTAACTTAATGTTGTAGAGAAATTTGTGCAGGAGGGTATAGGTTTAAAGTAACTCCAAAACCAGTTTCAACAATTGAAAGAGCATTTTTAAAGTCCCCAGGTATAATCAAATCCCTAATTATATTACAGCTTCTTTGGGAGAAAATACTGAAGAAATTACCCATATTTTGCCAGCAGGATTCTCACCTATGAAACCTCCTAGACCAAATAAGATCAAAATTTTTAAATAAAAATGCAATTAAGCCTCAGAAAGACCTTAAAATAAGACTTGCAACTGATGAGCCTCCTTCAATGATGGCTGGGGTACTTGAGCCTCATGCTCCAAGAACCATTGCTAAAAAGGTGCATAAACCACTTATAAACTTAGGAGAGATGAATCGTGAAACTGCAAAAATGTATTACGGCTATATGAAGATAAAATAAACACAAAATTAAACACAAGAAGAGCAAGTCCATTGAAAGTGGGTATTCATATACCTTCCTTCGTAAGAAGCCTAAGAAGAAGATCAACTACTTATCTCCTTCCCAAGTCCTGCTAAAGAACCAAGACGCCAATGTAGATGAGATCATCCATATGACTAAGATTACAGCAGAAAGGATCAGGAAAAATAAGAAGAATAATTTTGGTATCCCCAAGAATGTTAACTGGCAAAAAGTCTTCTCAAATGGAAATGAAAGTTATGAAGGAAACGTCATGAGACGAAACAAAAGCGAGCAAAGTCACAGTAGGTTTTCAGAGCTGATTCTTAGAATTTGACATGGACTTATTCTTTAATGACTTAAAATGGCAAAATCTTTCAAAATAAGAGTAAAAAGAATATTCCATTACCTACATTTAACAATTCCGGCCGATCTCCTCAGATAATGGAAAGGGACCAGGTTAATAATCGTTTATAAGCCAGCACAGAAATTCTCCAGTAAAGATGGTTTCAAGAAGCTATCTCGATCAAGAAGATTCTCAGATTCTTAATATCCAACATGAAGAGGTAGCATGATTTTTTCTGGAGATGTAATAAAAATTTCTATAGCTCAGCTCAACAATACGCAAAAAGGATACCCCTTCACATAAAACCCTGTCTCTGCATGAAGATTCAGACAGTGAAGAACAGACTAAGAAGAAGCTGCAGGATAGGATAAAGTTTCTTGAAAATGAACTTCAGAAGGGAAGTCATCAACTCCAGTACAAACTTCCTGAAAAATGTAACTCCAAAATCAATGAAATATAGTGAAGGAACAAATTAAAGCAAAGGCTAATCGAAAGCAACCACCGTGTAAGTCTGCTGCTTTCTTACTGTAGATATGTCGAAAAAGGGAGCAGGGAGATCATTGAAACCTCCACTGAGTAAATTCAAGAAACAGACCACTAAGTATAACCAGAAGAGGACTTTGTACATGAATAATATGGATATCAGCGTTAGTTTTGACTGTGATGCCCAATAAGTCTTAATTTTACACATTGATTTCAAGTTAGAATGAGAAAATAGGGGTTTTGGGGTTTTGGGGTTTTGGGG